ACTTGGGAGGAGCTCAGGATTAGATCTTCCCACTGCTCAAAGAGTTCACCTGCTGGGAGGTGTGACTCTGGTATTGGTCCCCACAGAAATTTATGAACCCCCACCCCTTGGAACAATTGGTTTGATACTTGGGAAATTATCTCTAACTTTGAAAGTCATTACTGTTATTCCAGCTATTAATGATTCTGATTATAACTCTGAATTGTGTATTCCTGTTAGTTCCACAGGACTTTGGATAATTGAACAAGGAGATTATATTGCACAATTATTGCTCTTACCTAAACCAAAATTAAATAAGATTAACTTTAAAAATTCCCAAAAGGATCCTCAGCCAGAAATTTCTCAAGAGGAGGTTTATTTCACCCAAGAAATTTTCATAAACTGCCCGATGTGCAAAATTAAATTGAATGGCAAATTCTTTACAGGGTTGATAGATACAGGCGCTGACATGAATGTGTGATCAGCATGTTTTTGGCCATCATCTTGGGGAAAAAAAACAGTTAAAACATCTCTAGTAGGCCTCTGCCCGCCCCCCGCCCAAGTTTTACAAAGCTCAATTCCTCTGCTTTATGAAGGGCCTGATGGTCAGTTGGGACATATCTGTCCTTATATAGCTCCCATACCTGTAAATTTATGGGGCAGAGATTTATTGGAAGAATGCAGTTATAGTAACTACTTTGCCCCACATTGGGTGCCATATGTAGGAAAAAGGGAAAGGGGATGTCAGAAGAGCCTCTGCAGCAAGTTCTAGTCTCCTGCAAGCCACAACAGCACAAGGCAAATTAATTAATATATAGACAGAAATGAGACTACAGAAGAAGCTGAGCTTTGCCTGATCAATGAGGCAAAGATCCCAGACCATGGGCTTGCCACACCTTTATTCAGAACATCAGCAGAAACAGAAGAAGCAAATGACTCAGAGGGTGCTGTGAGGATCCTACAACAATGAGGAACTATGAAGATGAAGACTTGGCTCCTCCCAGGATGTCTCCAGCTGGTGTATTTCTGCCCTGGAGCCTCACAGCATCATGGCCTGGTAGACAGAAAAACTAGGCCCTAATTATGATTATGATTTGATTAGGAAATGATCTTTCCCCAAAATCATGCAGAAATGCTCCTGACAATGTACTAATAAAAATAAAAATTTTTTTAAAAATTAGGACTTGATTGTGACCTCCAAGTAAACATTTTACTACATGAGATTTAAAAAAATGAAAATTCCAATTTAAAACTTAAAATTAATGAGATGTTAGTATATTGCAGGAAGAATTAAATGTCCATTTTTAGAAAAATTAGACTAAATCTCAACTCTGTCACCATACTACAACATATTATTATTATGTCTACGAGCTTTCTGAGCACATAGGCATTTAACAGACACACAGTTTACTAAATGTAAACTTCACAGGTAGTTATAATTAATAAACTGCACGCTCAGATAAAATGCATGTAAAATACAGGCTAGAGGGCCGGGGTTTTAGCTCAGTGGTGCCACCACCTGCCTCACAAGCACAAGGACCCAAGTTTGATCTTGGTACCCCTCAAAAAATACAGTCTAGAAGTTAGTTTTAGAGTTTTAGGCATTTAAAAAATAGTAAGTACTGAGAAAAAAAGTCCATTGAAGTGCAAGGGTGAATTGGAAAATAATGGAGTGAGAGGCAGAAAGGCCTGGTATATTAGAAAAGAATACTGATGATGGTAAGTGGAAAATTGGTAAGTTTCACTTCAGTAGCCTTTTCCTGAAAATAAAATATGTGATCAAAGCCAGGAGTGGTGTTATATATCTATAATCCCAACAGAGGATTCCTGCCCAACAGAGGCAGGAGGATTTCAAGTTCAAGATCAGTCTGAATGATTTAATGACTGTCTCAAAATAAAAAATGGAAAGGGCGAGGTTGTGGAGCACTTCCTGAGTTCAATCCCCAGTAGGAGGAAAAAAAAAAAAGACATATAATCACAGATTTAAGAAATTTAAAAAGAGTGGGAGAAAGCCCTGGGTTCAATCCCCAGTAAAATCAGTCAGTCAAGTAGGGCTTAAGCCTGGCATAGTGACGCATGCCTATTATTTGTTCCTATTATCATAATATTTTTTGTTTATTTTGGTACTGGGTATCAAACTCAGGATCTTGCGCTTGCAAAGCAGGTAGTGGAACCACTGAGCTAAATCCCCAGCCCTATCTAATGCTTTTATAAGTGTTTGACCTTAGGTTTGATTAAATTTCGACTTAGAGGCTTAGAAGTATAGCTCCACGGTAGAGCTCTTGCTTAACATGCAACAAGCCCTAGCTTTGATTCCCAGGACAGTAAAAATAGCAACAATTTTTGGGCCTGGGATATAGCTCAGCAGTACAGCACCTGCCTGGTAAGCATGAGGCCCTGAGTTCAATTTCTGGTACCAAAACAAACAAACAAACAAATCCCAAAAACAATTTTTAAAAATGCAAAACCTCTGGACATGGTGCAGCACTCTTGTAATCCCAGCACTCAGGAGGCTGAGATATGAGGACTGCTCCAAGTCTGAGGCGAGCATGGGCTATATAGTGAGTTTGAGGCCAGTCTGAACTTAGTAACAGACCAAACAAACAAACAGAAAAAGCAAAGCCATCAGTTCTTTACTTCATAAATAAACAGAAGGAATATTTTTTAAAAATATTCTCTCCTGGACCAGGTGTTGGTGATATGTGCCTATAATGCCAGTTACTCAAGAAGCTGAAACAGAGGCATATCATATCAAGCTCCCAGTTAGCCTTACAAAACAAATTCTCTCCTGAGACTCATCTATATTTACATCGTTTCAGAGTATGATATTCTTACAACAGTATATTTCTATATCCTAAAGAGTCTAAATTAATTTCCAAGTATATATTTTATCCTTTTCCATTTGAGGCATTCTTTAGGATCATTAAATCCTAATGTAGGATGATTCTAAAAGGTGTATTACTAAAAAAAAAAAAAAAAAAAAAAAAAACACTCCTAGGCTGGGCATGATAATACACATTTATAATCCTAGTACTTTGTGAGGCTGGGACAGGAAGATCAAAAGTTTAAGCCCAGGAGCCGGGGATGTAGCTCAGCAGTATAGTGCCTGCCTGGCAAGTATGAGGCCCTGAGTTTGATTCCAGGTACCTCCCCCACAAAAAAAATTCAAGCACAGCGTCTGCAACTTAGCAATTTAACAAGATCCTGTCTGAAAAAAAAGACTCTGTTTGAAAACTTTAAAAAGAGGTGAGAATGAAGTTCAGTATCAAGGCCCAGGATCCAAAACTTAGTACCAAGTGTAAAAACACAAAAAAGGGAAGAAAAACAAAAACAAAAACAAAAACAAAAACCCAGGGGCTGGCAATTTAGCTCAGTGGTGCCACCACCTGCCTGGCAAGTGCAAGGTCCCGAGTTTGATCTCGGGTACCAAAAACAAAAACAAAAACAAAAAAATACCCACACTTCTAATCTATTAGGAAACATTGAGTTTTTTGAAAACTTGTTTATTAATTACCAACAATTCAAATATTTGAACATATGTTTCCCTTGATTTCATTAAGTGGCCCATTCAAATATATTCCTGTCTAAAAGTACTTTAAAAACAACAAAGTATTGCTATATGGTTAACAGAATGTACTCTGGCTAGAGGTATAATACTCAGGGTGTAGAGCACTTGCCTAGCATGTACAAGGCACCGGGTTCAATCCCCAGCATTGGGGCACAGGTACTTTATTGCTAGTAATGGTCAAATTTCTCCTTTTGCACTAAATAGTGTGTAATATTAAGGGAGGGCAGGGGTAAGGGGAAAAAATAAGAACCAAGACCTGTCATGTAAAAGTACAAGATCCCAATGTTGAAGGTAACTGTACTGTATACCTAAAAAGTACTAATAAACTCAATGAGAAAACAGACAAACAACAATAAAATTCAAGATCTTCTTATAATTCAAATCTGAGTGCAACTAATTCAATGAGACTATTCATATCCTATTGTTCAGAAATCTACCTCTGTTGAATAATTTGTATTTGGAAATGCTTTAAGTAAAGATTTTTACTATTGTGTCAGATGTTGGAGCATGATCTAAAGTGAAAACATAGCAGTTTAGCAGAAAAACAAACTCTACGTAACTAAAAACAATTCATTAGTAGTAACGTACAGTAGAAAAGGCTATATACAAATGTATTTTCTACCCATGATGGCAATTTTTTGAAAATTAAAAAAATTAATTTTATTGGTACAATTTTTTTTTTTTTTTAAACCAAGGATTGAACTCAGGACCTTGTGCTTGCAAGGAAGCAGTAGCACCACCAAGCTAAATCCCTGGCCCCTATTGGTACACTTTTGACATACATAATATAATGATCACACTCATCATAGGGAACCTATACCTGTGCATATCTTTTTTTTATACCAGGATCAAACTCAGGACCTTGTGATTGCAAGGTTGGTGACAACACCACTGAGCTAAATCCCTGGTCCTACACAATATATCTTAATTCTTTTTCCCCCCACACCTCGCTCTTCCTTTCAATCCTTCTTTCTTTCTTTACAAAATATTTTTTCTATTGTTTTCTTCCGTTGTTTTTCATTTTCTTAAATCCCTATCCCTCCCCTTTTCTTCCCCTCTCCCTCTCTTGTTTCCCCACTTCCCGTTAGAACATTTTCTTCCTATTTCCCAATATCTATCATCCATTTTGGTCCTTACTTACCCTCTGGTTTTCTCACACAAGAGAAACAATATGATATTTAAACATATGTGTCCAATTTCATTTCACTTGACATTATGTGCTTATGGTAGAATGATGGTAACATAAATCTAAATAGAGGTAGTAATCGAACTTCTACAATAAAAGAGGGCTGGCAAATACCATAATCATTATGACTTAATCCACTGTGGAATTTCAATTACAATATACTTTTTAGTGACCATCAGATGAAAATCTTCCAGTAACTAAGTCTCAGAAAAACAGCACAGAAGGAATACAGATCAGTTCACCCCAGGACTGTGCTATTTCTCTTACCAGATTGATCAACCTTCTCATCGCATGTTCATGAGAGCAAACACATTCACAGGGATCGAATCCTCCTTCTGCCATGACTGCCCAGCTTGATTTTACTTGACTACTGAAATCTACGAGGAAGGAAAAAAACAGTATAAGACTCCTATTGTTACTCTTTCTCTTCAACTATGAAAAATTTATATATTGCATAGATTATTATTATTATTATTATTATTTTTGTACCAGGGATCAAACTCAGGCCCCTGCATTTGTGAGGCAGGCAGCAGAGCCATTGAGCCAAATCCCCAGCCCTTAGATTCTTAACAGTTCTCTTAGTTATGTATTTTCATATTTTATTTATTCATTTTTGGTACTGGGGATTGAACTCGGGACCTTGTGTTTGCAAGGCAGGCGATGGAACCACTGAGCTAAATCTCCAGCACTATAGTTTCATATTGATTAATGACCTATACAGTACCTATGAATTTATTATCAGTCTGCTAAGAATTATGAATTTATCAAATGAATTATGAATCTATGAATCGTTACCCCTCTGCTGTCAGTCCAACTTCCTGTAAGTGTCTTCAGATGCTATGAACTAGCCCCATTTATGATGAAGATCTCTGCGAGATTGGGAAAACAAATGAATTAAGTGCTGACTGAACCAGTTTACTGCCCAATGCAATTTTTAGGTCAAAGTGCAGGGAGAATGGTATGAAGTGAGAACAAAGAGGTCAGAAGCCAGGGCCACTTAAGGTTTCCCCTGTGCCCCACATTGGGCCTCCACACTGAGCTGTATTACCAGCCCCACTTTGTCCTTTTTTGGAGACAGTGTCTCATGGTTGCTAAGTTGTCCAAGGTGGGCTTGAACTTGTGATCCTCCTGCCTCAAGTCTCCAGAGTGCTAGAATTACACGTGTGTGTAACTGCACCCAGCTCACACACACAGGGTTTTTCAGACCATGTTGAGCCCAGTTCAAGCCCAGTCTGGGCAACTTATGAGAGTTTGTTTTGTGGGGTTCTTTGGGGGTGGAAGTAATGGGGACCTGGCGCTTGCAAGGCAGACATGATGCCACTGAGCTACATCTGGAGACCTTGTGTTTTTTTTTCTTTAAAAGGTGGGGGCGCTAAGGATGCATCCTAAAGTGAAGGTCTTGGATTTAATTCCCAGTACTACCCCAAAACAGGTGTTTACATTGTGTTTCAAATGAAATAAATGATAGTATGAGTAGATGAAATTCTACACACCTGCTAGAAATAATTAACATGGTGATTTGGGGAATTGCCTACAATATACTGAGGTGAAATCAAGTAGGTGAACAGTCAGGACAAATCCACATTTCATCCAGTATCTTCCCATTAAGAAGGAAGGGGAAGCTAGCCATGGTGGCACACACCTGTAATCACAGCACTTGGGAGTCTGAGGCCAGCCTGGCTACCCAGTGAGTTCAAGGCCAGCCTTGAGACCCTGTCTCAAAAAACAAACAGGAAAACAAAAAACAGACAGGGCCAGGGAATGAGTTCAGTGGTGCCACCGCCTGCCTCTCAAGCACAAGGTCCTGAGTTCAATCCCCAGTACCAAACAAACAAATAAATTATAAGAGGGAAGGGAAGAGAAAAGGAGAGAAATGCAAGGAAGGGCAATGGAGGTTCTGGAGGCCTCAGCCAGAAGCCCTAACCCCCAGCAGCTAGGAAACATCATACATAAACGCTGACCAGCTCACATTCTTGTCTGAGGCCACTCTGTGTCCTTGTGTTTTTTCTGTTTAATGGATGAGTTTTTTGGTTAGTGAACTGAGCATACATATCTAACAGGGAAAACCCTGAAAGTAAATATGAGCTGCTTTTTTTTTTTAACTTTTCTCTTTTGGCACTGGGAATCGAGCCCAGGGTCTCACGCTTGCTGGGCAGGTGCTGCACTGCTGAGCTATATACCCTGCCCAATATGAGCAACTTTTAAAGGTAGATAAAATTCACCCTGTTTCTCAGCAAAGCTGGGACTGTGCTGGTGTGGACACAATCAAGCACCCACCAACAACACTGGTTCATCATCCTCCCTACTGTATGCCACTGGGCCAATGAAATGTTGGTCAAAGCTAAAAGATATTTTACCAAGATTTAAAAAAACAAATGCAAATACCAAAATGCTCAATACTTAGCCACTTTTGTAGCCTTTGAACAAGAAAATGTTACTTGTTTTTTAAAAACACAGCGGTTTTCAAGTCTCTTTTTAACCCATTTAATTAAGAAAATGAGATTTCACCTCCTCTCCCCAGAACACAGCTTCTCAAGAGCATAAACCTATCTTAGTCATTCAATTCCAAACACTTGCTTCACTACTTTGGCCCTGGCACACACTGAATAAATATTTACTGAATCCATGACAGTGTTTATCGTCTCTATATCTATATATATGCTGGAACATGTAAATGAACTAGAATTTTAAATTATACTGCAGTCTTGATTAGCCTCTAGTAAATGAGACTATGTTTCTGTAGAACCCGCCTCGTGTAAACCTGTACTCTTTTTAAGTACTGCTCAGTTTTCAGTTAACAGTTTCCTTTTTTTGTTGTTGTTTTTTGAGACAGGGTCTCACTGCGTAGTGGAGACTGACCTGGAACTCACTATGTAGCCCAGGCTGATCTCAAACTCATAGTGATCCGCCTGCCTCAGGCTCCCCAGTGCTGGGATTACAGGCGTGCGCCGCCATGCCTGGCTAAGAGTTTCCATTTTAAAAATCACTTTAAACAATAACAGAGTGGACCCTGTCAGTTAGGGCCTACGAACAAATGTTGAATATGCGCCAGCAGCTAAAGCAACGAGCAAAAACAACCTTTGCTCCATCCGGCCGCACGTGTGACGCCTCTGGTCTTCAGGGGGGCAGTAGGAAGCGTCTCATCCTAACAAGACAGAATGGGGTCACTGAATCATAACTCTGGCAAATCCACTTCAAAGAAGCCTTCGATAGAAAATAACTTAAAACAACGCTTTCGCCTTTTCCGTTTCACAGATTTGCTCAGTTCCTCTATATTTCTAATTTTAGAGAACAGTACTAACATCAAAGTCATGGGCTTGACCTTTGACGACAACTAGCTTTACTACCTGTTTCTCAAAAATGCATAATAGGAGCTAGGTGGTGGTGCACAGCTGTACCAGCACTCAGAGGAGGCTGAGGCTGGAGGATTACAGTAAGTTCGAGGCCAGCCTGAGCTACATAGTGAGTTCAAGGCCAGTCTGTACTACAAAGCAAGATTCTGTCTCAAAAAACAAAAGCACAATAGGTCACCAAAGTCCTAAGTCATGAAATCTAAAATAACTCAAAATTAAAAACAATTTAGAGGGACTGGAGATGTGGAGATGTAGCTAAGTGCCAGAGTACTTGCCTAGCATTCATGAGGCAAAGCCACAAAGTAGCGCTCAACATCATAGGGGAACTGAGGGAAGTAGACGCAGGTTTAGAATAAATCAAATTGGCCCTGAGTTGACAATGAGATTGGGCGACAGGGACTGCAGAGTTCTTATACTTCTCAACGTTTTTGTATTTCTAAATTTTTTGTAACATTTATGTGAGCATTTTACTAATTAATAACAGCAATCTGACTCTAGGCATATTAACACTATTTGTAGCAACTTTTTATGGGACATTAATCTAAAGATCTCAAAGCCATCTCAAATGCCTAAACAATTCGCAGCAAAGAAAAGCAGTGAAATGAGGCACTCTGCACACTGAGAAGGCAAAAAGCAATTCCCCTTATTCTGCAGATGCAGCTCATTTTCTCCCTTCTCTACAACTACACAACCTTTCCTGAAAGTCAAATTTAATTACCTGCTTACAACTCTGAAGAAGGTTAAAAAAGAGATATTGTAATTCTACTACAGTGTGCATTTTATAGAGTTGTAGAATTATGCTTATAGATAAGATTGGATTCCTTAAAAGTAGCTCACTATTAGGCCAAACAATATAGTAAATGGTGACAACAGCAGTTATCAGATATTTATAACTAATAGATATAGGTTTTATGAGATATTATACAAGTTCTATAACTTTTATTTCAGTATACAAAGCTCTCCTATTTATCTATCTTTCTCTTTCTTTCTTTTCTTTTCTTTTTTTTTTTTTTTTTTTTTTATTTTTTTTTTTTTTGAGACAGTGTCTGGCAATGTAGCCCAGGCTGGCTTTGAACTCAGTGATTCTTTTTTTGTTGTTGTTGTTGTTATTGGGGATTGAATTCAGGACCTTGTGCTTGCGAAGTAGGTGAACTCAGTGACTCTTATGCCATACCCAGCTTTTCTTCATTCTTTTTAATTGCTATATAATACCATAAAACATGAGTAAATAATTTTTGTTTGTTTGTTTGTTTTTTTGAGACAGGGTCTTACTCTGTAGTTGAGACTGACCTGGAACTCACTATGTAGCCCAGGCTGGTCTCGAACTCACAGCGATCCTCCTACCTCATTCTCCCGAGTGTTGGGATTACAGGCGTGTGCCACCACACCCGGCTCTACGAGTAAATAATTTCAGCATTCTTTTATTACAGACTACTCCACATTTCCAATTTTTAAAATAATATTTTAACAACTCTCTTTGGGCTCATATTTTTGTAGAACAGTTCTAAAAATCAAATCTCTAGGCTTAAGGGCATACATAAAAAGACTTTATCTATTTGGAGGGAGCAGTAGAGAAAGAGGAAGAAGTCTTCCAGGGGCAAATCTTCCTAAAATAATTCCAAATAACAAAAGTAGATTCCTTCACTGCCCAAGTAAGGCTTAACCTCCTCCTCTTACCCTGAGTGTCGCCTGGACTTAGTACTTCATTTCTAAGTAACAGCACACAGAAAGGAAAAGTAACTTCACAGTAGAGAAATGAGCAAGAGGAATATACATAGTGAGACCCTGTCTCGAAAAATTAAAGAAAAAGCTTTAAAAAAACCAACAAAAAGAATCATACCAGAGTGATATATGCATACCCATGTTTATAGCGGCACAGTCTGTAATAGCTAAAACTTGGAAACAGCCCATTTGCCCATCAGTTGGAGACTGGATAAAGAAGATGTGGGTTTTCTATAAAATGGAATACTACTCAGCCATAAAGAATGAGAAATTAGATTCATTCATAGGAAAATGGATACATA